GCTGTGTCTGCCCTGTGTTCACCCAGTGCTGTGCCTGCAGCTGTATGGAGCCCCTGCCCTGAATTCTGCGCTCTAGGTCTCAGTTCCAGATCCAAATGCTATCAGATCCAAATGCTTGCTGTCACCCTGTGCAGTGCCCACTGTTATGGCATGTCCCATGCCCCGCATCCTGCGCCTGGCTCTCAGTACCAGAATGGGGTCTTGCTCCACACCTTGTTTCCTTTCTTAGCCCCGTTTGCATGGCCCACCCTCTCTCAGAGCCTGAGGGTGGCTTTGGGATCCCTGGCACCCAACTGTCAGGAAGTTGGTGATTTTGTTCTGGTCACTAGGTGGCGTCAGAGATCTTTACTAGTATCCTTCCAGAACTGTGTTCCCCCCCACCCCACCCAGTGGGTCTCTGGGGAATAGAGTGGGGGTGGCATGGAGCCCCTCAAGCTGCGTGGGGGAGCTGTGTCTGCCCTGTGCCCTGCCGCTGTGGGGCTCCCAGGCCCCGAACTTTGTGGCCTGGTTCTCAGTTCCGAAACCCTCAGATTTGGGACGTGGGCGGTAGCCCAGTTCAGTGTCTGCAGAAATGGTGCCTTTTGCACCCCGCGCCCGTACCTGGGCGCCTGGTTTTTGATTACTCAGTGAGGGTCATTCAACTCAGTGACTGTTCCCATGCATCTCCCCATGAACCTAGGTCGTGGGCATGGGGACCTGGGCAGCCGCGATCCGTGTATGCTTTTCCAGCGCGTGTGCTTTTCTGCACAAGCTTACCAGCTGGCCTTGAGCTATTTGCAGGTCTCTCTGCGGGAGTCCTTATCTTCCTCTAATGGCCACCCTGAGCTATTTGCTCATGTCCGTGGTGATTCCCGCATGGTTTTCCACAGTACCTGTTTGCGGGGTGGGATGCCTTCAGTAGTTCCTTTACACTCACTGTCCCACTTGGTCTGTTGTTGTTTTTTTGTTTTTTTTTGTTTTTGTTCTGTTTTTGTTGTTGTTTTTGTGTTTTTTCTCCTTCCTTTCTATTGGTCGAAGTGTGCCGGCTTTGTGCGTGGAGGAGGGTAGCAGGGTTATGCGCTTTCCTCTCTTCTTGTCCTCCTTTATGGCAACTTTCCTCTTCAGGCAGTTTGACAGAGTTGCCTGTTTATCTTTCATGTCCTGGTTCTCACAGGGACCTGCTGCTTTTCTTCCCTGTAACTTTTTTTTTATTGGGAGGACTTACAGCGTTTCCCCACTGCCATGTTGATCCTCTCATGTAATTTTTAAATAAAAAAAAATTAAATCATCTCAAAGGAAGATATTTTTAAAATTGTATTTTTTAAAAACTGAAATGACATTGCTTTTTAACACTGTATTTATGGATATAGGTTTGTTATAGGGCAACCCCGATATAAAATAAAACGGTTGCCTGGCTGTGGGTCCTCACCTGCGCGCTTAAAGGGACTTATTAATATTCCACTACAGGCACACACAAAAGGTTAATAAAAGGTTTATTTACAAGGGAAAGGGAATTAAGGAAATGTACAACTCAGGGAGAAAATAGGGAAATAAAGTCTTTAATGCGTCCTACCCGATCCACTGACCTGGAAATCGAAAGGCACTCTCAGAGCTGGCCGGATACTGCGAACTGGCGGAGAGTCAAAATGGGGGATCCTCTCCAAAGCCCACATGTCTGGCTTTGATCTGGAGTGGGGGGGGGGTGAAGTCTGCAAAGCCTGTATGGAATTAGCTTTAGGACATCCTTTTCCCCCTAACAGGTTCACATCTCTTCAGATGTATCTTACCACACCATATCCACCACCAAAGCACTCATAATCCTCCACAGTCAAATGACCCCCCTGACCACCTTAATTTCTATATTCAGATTTCTAGGTCTTGATTGGATTTGATTTTATCTGTTCCTTTGTATTCCGTATATGAGTGAAATCATCCTTTGTCTTTCTCCTGACTTGCTACACTTAACATAATCCCAACTAGTTCCATCCATTTTTTTGTAAATGACAAGATTTCATCTTTTTCCACTTTTTAAAATAACTGAGTAGTGTTCTATTGTGTGTATGCACACACACCACATCTTCTTAATCTAATCATGTCACTAGACACTTAGGTTGTTTCCATAACTTGGCTACTGTAGATAGTGCTGCAATGAATATGCAAGGACATATGATACCCCTTTGAATTAGTGTTTTTGTAGTCTTTGGGTAGATACCTAGAAATAAATCTTAAATTTAAAAATACCTATCTAATTTCAAAATGGCTATGCAATTTTGCATTTTACCAGCAGTGTTTGAGAATTTCAGTTTTTCTGCACTCTTGCAAGCTCTTGATATTAAAAAAAATGAAAAAAAATATAACAAGTATATAGTGGTGTCCCACTGTGGTTTTAATTTGCATTTCCCTATAGGCGTAGTATGTTCAGCCTTTTTTTTCATGTGTGTTTATCACTCTATGACTTCTTTGGTGAAAAGTCTGCTCCCATTTTCCTATTTTTATTTTTTATTTACATTTAAAATTACTTTATTGAGGTGATGTTGGTTTATACCATTGTACTTTAGAAGTCTATGGTCTCCCCCTTCAGTGTAAGAGATTTCTTTTTTTCTCCACATCCATACCAGCACTTGCTTTTGGTTGTTTTGATGTGGGCCATTCTCCGAGGAGAGAGGTGATATCTCCTCATGTTGATTTTCATTTCCCCAATGGTAAGTGATGATGACCATTTTTTCATGTGTCTGTTGGTCATCAGTCATCTTTGGAGAAATGCCTGTTTATCTTTTCTGCCTAGTTTTTGACTGGATTGTTTTTGTTGAGTTGTATGAGCTCTTTGTAGATCTTTGATATCAGTCAAATATATGTATGATGTGCAGATAATTTCTCTCATTCAGTAGGGTGTCAGTTCCAAGACAAGAGTAACCTGCTTCAGTTTGCTTTCACTGATCAGGAGCTTCTCAACTGTGGCTTTGAGGCTTTAGAGTCTGCCATTTGCAGTTGTTGAAGGAGGTCAAGGTTTTGTTCGTGTAAGCTGCTGGTTTTCTCTAAATTTTCCATTCTTTGGTTGTTACTGAGAAGAGCGGAACTGGTAAATTGTTCTTGAAGTATGTGGTACTCCATAAGCTTGTAACTGTTTAGAGGTATGCATCTCAAACATCTGATTGATGGTCTTTTCCACTGCACCAAGCTCAGGTTGAGTAGTGTGGTTTTATAAAGTTAAGTATGGTTCCTAGGATCTCATGTTACTGAATCAAGGACTTATGGCTTCCCAACAGACTTAAAGCCACTTTAAATATGACCTCTGATTTCTGAAGAAAGATCATATCACACACTCTGGCTATGAATCCCAGGGGGAACTAAGAGGCAAGCATAATGAGAAACCAAGGGACACTATAGAGGCTGGACTGTTCTTGAGCTGGTCACTCCTTTAAGATGAGTGAATTCTTCATAAGCTTTAGGCCCTATTCAGCAAGTCATTTTCAGAAGCGTGAAGCTTCTGATTTTCCTTTTCCATTCTGAGTAGTAGTATCTGTTAGAGAAGAGCCTTTTGCCACAGCTCTGAAAGCTCACATCATGTCCGTCCTCCCCCATCCTCTCCCATGACACAGGACCAAAAGTGTCCATCTTCACAAACTGTTTCTAAAGGAGATTGGGGGGGACCTCTTCTAGCTCTGAATAATCTTCCTATCTGCTGGAGAATCTCTCATTTTTGGTGGACTTGCCACTTGGAGGAGTATCTGCTGCCTCCGTGAGAGCCTCCGTGTCTTAACAGGGGCCTCACTGGCATGGCCTAGATGGTTGACTTTGGATTTGAAATCCTATGGTTCATGTGGCCTCTCGATGTTTACTGAGTAGTACCTCATCAGTTTTCCTCAGTAAGACCCTGGAAGAGCCTTGAGCCAGTTCCAGGGGCTCCTGGTATTCCATTAGGAAATGGCTCAGGGTGTATGTGTGCCAAAAAATAACAATAATATAAGAAAATGAGAATAAAAGAGATCACCTTGAAGTTCTTGGCAAATGTGTCATCATACTCTGATGGAGTTTCGAGTTCCTCTGGGCCTGACAATCTCTCTGGCCTGTCGGATGGAGCTGATGAGCACAGGCACCCAGCCACTGCACAACCGAACAATGGTGACCTGTCATTCCTCACCCTGTGCTCCGCTCAATCTCACTGCTGCCCTTGTCCCTGCGGGCTCGCAGCAGGGGCTCATGAATATTTTGGATATAGAATAACATAACATTAATTCAGTAAGAGTTAAAGCACTACATTAATGAAATGAGAGGTTATAGATCTTACTTTAAATTGCCCGTAACCAGTTTTGTACTATATAAAATGAAATACTAATTTAAAAAATTGCGATAGGCCTTCCTGGTGGCCTAAGGGTTCAATCTCAGCAATATCATCCCTGAGGACTGAGTTCTATCCCTGGGCAGGGAGCTGACCCACATGGCACAGCAGACCTCTTCTGTCTCGCCCACTGCTCCCCTCAGCAGTGTGTTTCAGTAGATCTGCCTATTCTACTCCCTACTCTGTGTCTGGTGAATCCTCTCACCACCCCCCATCTCTGGCCACACCCTAGTTCTACACAATAATTTAAAAAAAATCTTGTATTTTTTCCAATCTTTCAATTTAGTATTGAGCTTTATTTAACTTTATATCTAAAACATTATCATTTCAACATGTAATCAATATGTAAAATTATATTTTTAATAGAAGTAAGGGTTTACATTGTTGTTTATATTGTTGTAAGAATCCCCCCCCCCCCCACCTTTTAGGTGTTGTTACCATAGTGCACCTACCAGCAGGGCACCCATTGTCGACCTCCATAGTCTATTGTGTTCCTCCCCACTTTGTTCTTGCTGCTCCTCCTCCCCCACCCCCTCTATTTGCTTCAGTTTTGTAGTCAACTTTCCAAGATTAGCCTTTTAGTTTAGCTTTATCTGACTCTTTGTTTGGTTTCTCTGTATTAATGCATATAAGTAAAATAATCTGTGTTTTGTCTTTCTCCTGACTTATTTAGCTTAGCATAGTCCCTTCCAGTTCCATTCCTGTTGCTGCAAATGGTAAGAGTTTGCAATCTCTCTTCTTAACTTTAGAGAAATGTTTTAGGAAACAATTTTTCTCACACTGAAGAGCCATTTGATGTTCAACATAATTAAAGTTCATTTTCATGGAGTTTTTTCCTTCTGTCAAATTTTAATGAAAGCGTACTTAGTATTTTTAAATGAAAATAATATTAATATTATTTTATGTAAGTATTTCTATTTACTTATCTATTCATTCTGCGTATCTTTCTATTGGGTGATTTTTTTTTTTTTTGCTTGACCTTCCTAAATCCTTCACACATTTTATTTTTTTGAAAACTTTTTCTGTTATTTATATATATTTTACATCATTCTTCATTTTTTGTACAATGTGTACTTTCTCCTCTCAGGTGTAGTCCCTGTAAAATTCCCACCACCAATTCACCCATGCTCCATCACCACAGTCCCTTGTGCTCTTCCCTCCGCTGTTTTCATCCCTCTCCACCTCCTCCCCTGCAGAATGTTTCTGATTTATAGTTGCCTGTTAATTTTTTTCTTAGGTGATTTTCACCTAATGTTAATGATGGCTATTTCTACTTAGAAAAAAAATAATTTTTTTATCTGTTTATCTTTTCTTTGCCTATCATGTGATGCAAATTGTTATGATGTAAGGAGGGACCAAAATTAGGAAGAGATTGAAAAACCATTTTTGATATTGATTGGTACTATTTACTAAAATCATTGAGATGGCCTTGAGATTGTTTGCCCATGTATTTCCTCTTGGTTTCCCAAGAGTGATAAAAACTTGCAATTTTCTGGAAACCAAACTAAATTTTGTATTTTCTGAGTTTTCTGAGACCTGAGAGGCAACATCTCTGTGGATAAGGATCCTTGTACCAATACAGGAACTAGAGCCCCAAAGGTAATAAAAATCTATTTGTAGGGTGCCATAGTTTACTAGGTTCTCTCATGCATTATTATTCCCACTCCAGAGAGGAAGAAATAGTCCCAGAGGTATTACAAGACTGAGCTTCGGCTCTCTTGGGTGCCAAGTGCAGAATTGTCATTTCATGATTCCAGCTGCTGCTCGCCTTAGGAGTGATCTGCGTCCAGTCACTGTGTCCGGCTGCAGTTCATCGGGGGAAGGGAGACAATGTTAGTAGGCAAAAGAGCTTTCTTTTAAGTTGAAGTTGCTCACATTACTTTATTTCAAATCCCATTGGCCCATACTTAGTAAAATGTCCATGCCTACTTGCTAAGACAGTCTGGAAATACTGTTTCTGGCCAGGGGGCCATGTGACCAACTACAACACTATTATTATGGTCAAGTGATAGCAGGTTTTGGTGGATGTCTAGAAGTCTCAGTCATAGCAGCTCGTTTTTGTGACTCTGTGGGTCTATGGGCACATTAGTATTTCTAGGCCCTGGTGATATTAATCTTACTACTTCATAAAATTATTGTGTAAGTCACAATGAAATAGAACCCTCACCACAGTGCTGGACACATAAAACTAAGTCAGCACACTATACTGTTACTGTAGCTTAGTCAACTCCCATGTCAGTCTCCAGTGATGCCTACTGAACCCTGCCCTTCCTATTCTGAATGTGCCTTGCCTATGTTAACAAATGAGGGCTCTTCCAAGCATACACAGGGAAACACCATAAAAGGAGATGTTTCTGCATATCAGACATTGAACTTGGTTAATAAGTGTTTACTTCTGATAAGAAGGTTCATTTTGATATACTGTCAATCCAGATTTCTTAGCCTGAGACACTGAGATTATTAATGTCATCATGCAGGGCCTCTTTGGAAATACTGGAGAACTTTTACCCATGACAGAAAACATATCTGTTCTGCTTCCTACTCCCTTGAATGAGGTAAGCAGAGAAAGATGTTTTTAAAAAGATGTCTGTGTCAGATACTTCATGGTGTTTTCTTGATGAGTTAAGAATGAGCACACTCTATCTTATTGGAGAAGATAGAGACTGGCTGGATGCTGCAGAGCTGTGAATCTCATAGAAATCATCTGTCCTTATCATGAGGATGTCACAGCCAAGCATCACAAGGCAGAGGTCCACTTTTGACTTCCTTGATTACACAAGTAAAGATTATAAAATCACTGAAGATTCTCAATGTGTCCCAAGAAATGTGCCATTTCATCAAAAACAACTGTAAAACTATATGTAAGAACACTAGGCTCTAGTATTTCTTATTTACCTTATCTGCTAAAAGAAGCTTTGTGTCTTCAATGTTTAGAAATGGTAAAAATAGTGCTGGATAAAAATCATAGGGATAATTTATAATTTATACATTTATTATAATTTATCAATCATTTCTGGATTCCCTCTTGTCATTGTGACTATGGTACATGCCAGAGCAAGAAGTTCAATTAGTTTTTCTCCTTATTGTCATTCCTAATTACTAGTGACAGGATCCATGGTGAGTTCACAGAGCAGTTTGTAGCATTGAAAAGGTCTGTAAGTCAGAATGTGAGTCATAAGAGTAAAATGTGAGGCTTAGCAGAATCAGCAACAGAAAAGTCCAATGAGAGTGCATTGTCATGGGAAAACCTTGAGCTAAGAGCTTGGGAGATAGACTGTGGCATAAAAGCAGAAGCTTGGGCAGGCGTGAGGAAGGCCTAAGCTAGATTTGGCACAGGGAACTGGGAAGAGGAGAGTGAATATGCCAGCAGGTGTCAGCATATTGGTATCTGTGCTAACAAGGACAAGTTGAGGTTTTGATGGTGGTATGTGTAAGATTCACGTATGTGGCCTGGGGCCCTGAAGTGGCTGATGAGACCTGCCTGTGGAGGATTTCACAAAGGGATTCCTTCCCTCTACCCTTTCTGGAAAGGGCTTGGTTTTTCCTGGGATTCAGTAGCTAGTGGCTTAGGGATGCTGGCTTTGGGAAAAGTGCCTGTTAAAGTTGGAGTAACACCAGTAGTCACAAAATGGGAATAGATGGATGGATGGTCCTTCTTCAGTTGACACCCTAAAAACACTATTCAGTGTTAGATGAGAACATTGTGCATTTGTGAGACACAGAGAATGAAAATGCCTTGCTTCACAGCTAATGTAATCTGGGGGAGGAAATGCTGAAAGCTGACCTTGCTAAAGGGCAAGTCTGATCACCCCTTTCTGTTTAAAGCCCTTTGTGGCCACCTATTGGACCTCAGGATAGAGTCCAACCTGTTGAATATGACTTTGCAAGGCCTTTCTTAGAAGGTCTTTGTGATGGGACCCTGTCCTTCTCTCCCTGCTTGTTTCTTCTCCCTCCTCCTCCTGTGCCCTGGCCATGCTGGGTTTCCTGAAGAGGCCATGGTGTCTTGGCTGGGCAGGTGCTCTCCCCTCTGCCTCCTCCATTGCTCTGCTCATGCTGCTTATCTGACCTCTATTCGTTGTTTAAGTCTAAGGATGGGAACCTTTTCCTGGCCAACCTCTAGGTGAGGGTAGGTGCCATTCCCACTCTCCCGTCTCCCTATCACAGGGCTCACCACACTGTTGTGTCACTGTCTTTTCCTCATTGGATTGCAGCTTTATGGTAGGGACAGGGTCTTTCTGCTTCACTGGTATAGCCTCAGTGGCTCACTCAGACTCCAGTGCAAGAAAAGTAAAAGATTTGTTTGGAAAAAATTGTGGTAAAAGATTTATAATTTAGATCATAGTGAATCTATGATTATTTTAAAATATTTAAACAACTTGGAAAGTAGATTAGAAAATGTAAGTTCCCAATAGTTCAACTCCATCATTAAACTTCCAGTCTCCATAGGTAACCAGTTACCAGTTTGCCAGCCTTTTTGTGTTTTCATATTCATGTAGTTAATTTAAATAAATATATGTGTGTGTGTGTGTGTGTGTGTGTGTGTAGAGAACTAGCTAAGCCATGCAGTATCCATACTTCTGCAGAAATTGAGGAATAATTAACTAATGTTTTAAGCCACAAATTTCTTTATCAGCAAAGGAAAACTAGTATAGAGATTACTGTAGGCTTTGCTCTCATCTTTCCTGTGTTGGAGTCCTCATTTTCTTGATTGTCTTTCTCCAGGAGCATATTCTCTTATATAGCTGTTCTGAAACATTGTGGTCTCAGGAATGTTTCTTGATGTGGTTATATCTATTGATATCTATTGTTATGTTGAGAGATCTTTTATGAATTCATTAATTCATTTCAAAATAACAATAACAAAACATATTCCACATTAACATAAGTAACATTCTTTGTGAAAATTGTTTTATGAAAGAATAATTTCTGCAAAGAGAGGCATTGTTTTACATTTTTGCAAAGCTCCTTCAGGACTGGCTAAATAGAAGGTAGCTGGTTGTTTATAGCTGTTGCAATGTATTATTTTAGTTGACATATGAAGAAAATCTGGTCTCCACACAGATATGTAGGAAAAAGTGAAGGTCTTGCTGATCTCGGAAAGGTTCCCAGGGACCCTCGAGGTCCTTCAGTCACACTTTGAAAACTGCTGCTGTGGTATCTACTACTCAAAGTATTGTCCCTTGGACCAGCAGCCCCAGTATCACCAGGACCCATTAGAAATGTAAATTCTGACACTCTCTGAATGAGAAATACCAGATAATAAGATCCTCAAATGGTTCCTATGTACAGGAAAGAATGAGATGCATTTCTTCAGGGCAGGGTGTCCTCTGAATCTTTGCTTGTCTGAAAATTTCTTTATTCTAGCCTTACGTTGACTTCATAGTTTGATTACAGGCTAGATGCTAGGTTGAAAATCAATTTTAAATTTTAACTTCTGTTGTCCATAGAATGAAGCAGTGTTATCTACTGTGAGAGTAGGGTCTATTATTTACCTTGGTTTTTTTTTTATCCTTGGCTAGGGTCCCTTCCCAGGGGATTCTAATCTCCCTATAAATATACTTTCTACTAAACTCCACCATGTTTTAAGTCCCTTGCCTCAGCCCTACTTTCCAGAACATTGTTTCTTTGTGTTCTGAGGTTTTCTGCAGTCTGTAGGGCAAACCCCTCCTTCAGTTTTACCTCCCTCTACTTGATAAAGACATCCAGTTTATATCTTCCTCTATTCCTCCCCTTCTCTTTAGATTTTTTTTTTTTAAGATTTATTTTTATTTATTTATACAAGCACTGGGTACAGTCAGAAGCGCAGGATGGTGAGAGAATGCACCAAATCCAGAGCAGGGAGCAGAGCAGGCAGACTGAAGTACACTGCTGAGGGGAGCAGCGGGCGGCAGGAGAGGTCTGCGTGCCATGTGGGACCCTCCTCTGGTGGCCGGGGAGCAGCCGGGGATTGAACCAGCGCTGCAGAGGCTGCGGGCAGCTTCACAACCCAGCGCTCAACTGCTGAGCCACCGGGGAGGCCCCCTTCTCTTTAGATTTTTGGTGTACATTTTTGTTTACGATTTCATTGTCCTTGTGGTGGTATCTCCAGGAATAATGTTGCTCAGAAGTCTCCTAAATGATTTTAATTATTGGAAAGCTACAAAATGTTTTGCTGATGTGTCTAAAAAGTTTTTCTGGTCCATCTTTCATTTTAAGTTTTTCGTATGAATTTTATTATCAGCTTGCTTGGTCTCTCCCCCTGTCTCCACCCCCTTTCATTTCTGTCAAACCCACTATTTTACTGAGACCTTATTAAATTTGTAATCTAATTTAGGGGAATATTGACATCTTTAAATTAGTGAGTCTTTTAAGAACACAGTATGCATTTCCATTTATCCAATTATTCTTTTTATGTCCCTCAATAGAATTTAAAAGTTTGCTTCTTACAGATTTTGCCCATATCTTATATTTTATCTCTTTGGTTGCTATTCCAAATGAGATCATTTTTTTCTATTATATTTTGTAACTAGTGTTTCACTTACCATTGTGTCAATGAGGTCTTTTTGATCTTATTATGTACAGATCTCCTTCATATTTCAAAATGTGTTGATTAGATTTTTGTTTAGTTTTAAAATACTTGACATTATAAACATGATTAAAAATGTAAAAGGGTTTACAATGAAAAGGATCATAAACAGAGTTTAGCACTACAGGTTATTTCCTGCATAATCCTTCCAGAACTTTTTTTTGGCTTACGTTTGGGTATCTGTACTCTTTATGCAGCAAGATGTTGAAGTGGTATTCTTTCTCCCTTTTGGGTGAGGCTAAAAGACCTGCAACAGCTCTGTACATGACTTACATGTCCACAGGCTCAACTGCCATTGTAGCCATGCTAAGAAACTGTAAGAGTGGATTTGGCTGCCTTAACTCCCCTTCCTCTGGCCAATAAGAGTAGTAGAGGTTGTAGAGGCTGGGAGATTTCTTTGGAGAGTGCAGTCAGTGTGCTTGGTCAAGTAAGCAGGGGCTCAAGGCAATTCCCAAAAAGCTGGCCCCTGTTGTCTGGCATTTGTTAGAAATAAAGATAGTATTGGAAAAGGCGAAAAGGCTGTTTTGGGTTATCTACCTGGAATTTGAGTGAAGGGTGGTTGCTGCCCTGGAATTGAGCTGCATTTTCAGTAGCTATGGAGCTAAGGCACATGTTTTGGGGCAACTGGATATGAATTCTGTTAGGTTTGGGGAACAGCCTGCCTGGGGTTGTCTTGGGTCCCATTCAAGAGGATTTCCTGGTGGGACCATGTGATTCCAAGAGAGTGAGTTTGCAGACCTGTGGGAGCGGCTCTTCACAGCCAGATGAGAGGAATTTCAGTTGCAAGGGATCCATAGACATCAGTCCCCAGTAGAGAAGCTCCAAAAGTTGGGTGGGGGAATGAAAGATCAAAACTCAAAAATCAAACCCAAAAACCCAAAATAAACATCTGGAAACTGCATATTTCTACTCAGAGACACCAGATCCATTAACTCTGCACCATCCACAGAAGACTACCCTATCCTCCCAGGCCTCTTACCCTGCCCTGTA